ACCCACAGCCCAAAGTTCGTCATTGTAGGCAGGAAAAGAGCAGAACAAGCACCGGTGGGTAAGTGCCTTCATTAAGGGTGATGGGAATAGTAGCTTGTGGCACTTGGGGAGCATTATCATTGGTAATTTGAATGTAACTGGGTCAAATGGAAAAAAAAGAGAAGGGGTATAATAAGGAAGTCATCATGAGGCTTATCGCTTGAACACACATGTTGGGGATAGGTACCCAGAACGGGGTAATAATTAGGCAAAAGTTCTAAACAAGCAGGGTGACTGCCGGCACTCGGAGCCACTGATGCAACAAGAGGCCGTTCTTAGAGCTTGACATTACACAAATTACATTACACAAATGATTTTTGTCCTATAGCAATGCAAATGGGTTTTTATCTAAGTTGAAATGCAAATGATTTCTGTACAGTGGAAAAGATAATTTTGTTGTCCTGGATGATAGTAACCATTTTAAAAATCTAACCCAGCAATCTTATGCCAGCATATTTTTCAGTGCCTGTTTTAGGGCTAACTTTACCACCTGGCTGGCTTCTCTCTTTAGTGAGTTAAATCAATCTTTGATACATGCTTGCTTTAGATTTGTACCAGGGTTAGGGATTTAACTTTTGGAAAACTGTTTTTCAACACAACTAATATGTACTGAGTGTCTATATGTGTCAAGCAGGCACTGGGGCTACACATGTGAAAGTGAAATAAAAAGACCCTGCGTGCGTGGAGCTTACGGTCGGGAGCTTAAACGTAAGCTTGCCCTGGCTCCTCAAATGTAATGCTCCTTGGAATAATATGTGAACTGCTTTCCACACCTTAAGAAAACAAAAGTGGGACATGTCCAGAGATGAAAGAGAATAAAGAGTTTTTAAAAATATATATTTTTTAAAAATGCTGCTGAGGGATATTGGCTTATAAGACAAGAAGTCAAGATGTGGAACAGAGAACTCTGGAATTTTAAAGCTATAAAACTTACAGATCTAGAATCACAAAAAAAAAAGAAAAAGAAAAAAAAATGGATAGATAAACAAGTACCTCTTGATAAAATGTCAGAATGTTTGAACTCTTAAAATATAGAAGCACTTTAAAAACTACCAAAAGGAAGGAACACTTTTTTCTAAAATGTTAGAACTTTTAATTCCAACATAAATCACATGCTAAAACCAACCAATCAACCAACCAACCAACCAACCAACAAACCAAGGTCTAATATTTTGTTTT